TGCGCAGGTCAGGAAGAGCTACCCAAAAGCCCGCCTACTTGCGTGACTACGTCATAAGTAGGATTGTTCCAACCAAGAGGGGAGGGGTGTTAGATATCAGTCCTAACTACAGTGGTTTCCATCAAGGCCCTCTGTTTCCGGCGGGAACAGAGGTTTAATCTTATTGATTGAAGGGTCTGACAGCTCCCTATAAAAGGGCTGCTGTCAGACTCAACCTTCGCTGGATTGTTCTCACTTGTTGTACTTAATAAAGAGCTGTTGTTACCATTAAGCCTGTGTGTGCCTATCCAGTACCCAATCTAACACTGGTGATGAGGATGGGATTGGAAGGCAACTAGGCGAACCAAAAAGAGCGTAGCAAACCAGCAAGTACATCCAGCCCAGAGCTCAGCGTGGCTTCGAGCAGCCATTTTTGAGGGCAAACTCATAACGCCCTCACAACACAAAATGGCCATGCACGCTCCACCGACTCCGTATGACCCAGTCACCAAGCACTGGGACTCATACATGCTACGATTTGACTGCTTCCTTGAGGCAAATGACCGCAAGAAGAACATGTTCCTCAGATACTGTGGTTGGGAAGTTTTCGACACAGCGAAAGACCTTTCTGAGCTGACACCGCTACAATCAGTCGCCTGGTCTGTGCTTCAGCAGATGCTAAGGACCCACTATGCCTCCAAGCCATCCAAGCACATTTGCCGGCATGAGTTTAACATCAGGAACCAGAAAAAGTACGAGTCGATTAATGCGTACGTTGCGGCACTTCCACGGCCAGGTCAAGGGTACTGGGAAACTTATCTGGTTATGTTGCAGGCCCACAGCGAGCTCTGAGCAAACCAGCTCTAGAAGCTCCAGCCACGGCCTGTAAAAGGTTCTAGGAGCTTCCACCAAGCAGAGCTGCAGAGCAAACAGGTCTGTCTGACCTGTTCAAGGAAACCCCTCCTACTGAACTGCACAGGTCAGGCAGAGCTACCCAAAAGCCCACCTACCTGCGTGACTTCGTAACAAGGAGGATTGTTCCATCCAAGAGGGGAGGGGTGTTAGATACTTGTTCTAACTACAGTGGTTTCCACCAAGGTCCTCTGTTAAGGCGGGAACAGAGGTTTAATCCTACTGGTCGAAGGATTTGACAGCTTCCTATAAAAGTGCTGCTGTCAGACTCAACCTTTGCTGGATTGTTCTCACCTGTTGTACTTAATAAAGAGCTGTTGTTACTGTTGAGCTTGTGTGTGCCTATCCATTCCCAATCTAACACCTTTGGATTAGAATCATACTGTTGACAGAGGCCTTAGAATGCATTCAGGAAGAGTGAGTCCCATTAAACAAGTGTGTGTGTTAGCAATGTTAAAAATCCTAGGATTTTTTTTTTTGTTGCTCCTATTTTGGAGGGTAAAAAGGTGAGCTACAGAAACTCAGGAAAACCTTACTTCATGATTTGGAATTATGCAAGTCAAACTGATAACAGTACATTAATTATTAGAAGTTTTGTTGCGGTGGTGCAGTGGTTAGAATGCAGTACTGCAGGCTACTTCTGCTGACTGCTGGCTGCCTTCAATTTGGCAGTTTGAATCTCAGCAGGCTCAAGGTTGACTCAGCCTCCCATCCTTCATAAAATGAGGACCCAGATTGTTGGGGGCAATAAGCTGACTCTGTAAACTGCTTAGAGAGGGCTGTAAAAGCACTGTGAAGCGATATATAAGTCTAGTGCTATTGCTATTTTTAAACTTTCCCATGCCATTTTTGTGATTTAGAAAACAGGCTACTTCAGCCTGGCCTTTTGAAATTCCCCAACCAGTAAGGGAATTGAAATCCACACATCTTAAAGGTGCTGGGGTTGAGAAACACTGCTATTGAAGACTCTTAACCGTGTTCAGAATCCAATCAAAATCTCATTTTAAATCAGTGTTTTTCAACTCTAAGATGTGTGGACTTCAACTCCAGAATTCCCCAGCCAGACTGCTCTTACAGTTGTCGAGGTTGAGAAACAGTGCTTTAGATATTCAGTTGTTTCAGTCTCCCTACTGGGTTTTGCTGAAAATTAATAAGGGCCTGTTTTTGACAGAAGTATTGTAAGATTTGTAGGCACAGTAGGTGCCCTTAAGAGCACAAACTGTGCCGAATTTCCAGCAGTTTAAAGTTAGATGAAGGAATTGACAAGGTTTGTTTACCTTCCCTGTTAATATAACTCGAAAATATTTACCTTTTTTGCAGAATGGAATTCTGACAGTTTTCAGAAAGAATAGGTGGAAGGTTTTTATGTAGGTGTAAACTTGGCCATTTGGAGTTATTTTCCAAAATGAATTCATTTCTTATCACCATACAAATGAATTCATCTCTATTTAGGAAGGCACCTGCATGAAAACAATATAATTTATATAGATGTGGTAGATATGGCAGGAGGAGGCAACCTTGCTAAATTTAATAGGGATTTGTTTGGGGGAGAGGGATTATTCTTTTAAAGTAGATTGTGGTGTGAGAAATCAAAAAAGAGATTTTGCGGATATACATACCACAGAGTGCTTGTAAGTAAAGAACATACAAAGCATCAACCATATGATGTGGGAGTGATGAATGAGAAGCAATTTAAGGAATTTGGGCTTGTAGCTGACAAGAACTAAGTTCAAAGAAGTCTGCTTTATTTTTATGGGATTAAATAGATTATCACTGAGAAATTACACAAAGGAGGAATGTGTTCAGGATGTTGTTTCCCTCACTTCCTCCAGCTTTAATACTCTCTATTTCCTTCCGAACACTAAGTATAGGCAGAATTCTACTTCTCCAATTTAAATGGATCCTAATCGTGAACAGGGTTTCAGATTCTATTTTAGAATCTGAAATATGGCTGGTGTTCATATTGCTACAGTTCAATTACATACTCAGGGTTCTGCGCCACACCTGGCATGGAGAAAGGTAAGGTCACCACATCAGACCGCTCGTGTTTTGGATAAAATGCAAAGGCAACAAACCGAAGTAAGATGTTATTACTCCATGATTACTGTCAGGGATTGGGAATGGCAGAATTTTCTGCCCGACCTTGCAAAACATTAGTTTGAGTTTGAACAACTTGCTCATGATAAGGGTGAATGCAGATATTGTACTTTAAAAAGGGATGGGCAATAGCACTCAAAGCAAAGAGAAATCAAGTTAAAATGATTTGCACAAGGGGGATGTCCTCACGCAAATGCCCCTTGTTTTTTCCCTTGGGTTCACCATCAACAAGGCTATTCTACCATTGCCCTCCCACTTTTCCTATGAATTCCAGCACAGGTATCAAACTCACCATNAAGTTGCTTCTCTCCTTGATTAGTTTCCACCCATTGCTTCTTCTTCTACCCTCAGGTGCCTTGGAGAATAGTTTGACTCCCTCTTCTTTGTGGCAGCCCCTGAGATATTGGACGACGGCTATGCTATCATAACACAATCATGTTGTTACTAGAAGAGCCAAGAATTCAGACAGGATTGTTTATTTATTTAGCGTATGACAAAAATATTAGAAAGCACATCACAATTACGTTCTCAACGAGCAAATATGAAACTATTTAAAAGAATAACAGAGTTGGAGGGGACCTTGGAGGTCTTCTAGTCCAACTCCCTGCTCAGGAAGGAAATCCTCTATCATTTCACCCAAATGGTTGTCCAATCTCTTCCTAAAAACTTCCAGTGTTGAAGCATTTACAACTTCTAGAGGCAAGTTGTTCCACTGGTTAATTGTTCTCACTGTTAGAAAGTTTCTCCTTAATTTCAGGTTGCTTCTCTCCTTGATTAATTTCCATCCATTGCTTCTTGTCCTGCTCTCAGATGCTTTGGGGAATAGCTCAGGGGTGGGTTCTGGCAGGCACTTCTGCCGATACACGTTGCACAATCATGCGCTTGATGCCCGCTGTGCCCACTTGCACAGTGTGATTAAAATTGTTCTGTGCATGTGCAGCATTGAAAAACAAGATGGCAGCACCATAGGACAAACGGTTCAGGGGCATGGCAGGCGTGGGTCACTGGTGTTTCCACCAAACCAGTTCTGTCGAACCGGTCCGAACCGGTAGGCACTCACCACTGAAATAGCTTGACTCTCTCTTCTTTGTGGCAGGAAATATGTGTGTCTGTGTGCCTTTCTCTTTTAAGATCAGGAAGTGCATTCCCAGCTCTGAAACTCCCTGGATAATTTACGGCCAGTCCTTCTTTCACAGCCCAATCTACACCCTAAAGTTGTGTAGTTTGTGATGGCAGCCTATGAATTTAACACACCTATAAAGGAAGGCCGCGAACTTAACAAATAAAGAGCCAAAAGTATTACAGCAGCAAACAATTCTTTAAAGGCCAGTGCAGGAATTAGACCTTATCACTTACTCATTCAATTACCTGTTCAGTGCTGCTGTGTTATCTTTTCCCAAGAAAGCAAGCGCAGGCATATCCACGATCTGCAAATAAAAAACGAGGCTCAGATAGTTTTCAGAGCGAGGCAAGAGAGGTCACATTTTTTTTTGCAAACTTGGGAGGGCAGCTTTTTAAAGGCCTCATTGCTAAACCTAGAAACGGGGTTATCCGTTCCAGATGCCTCATTTAGGATAATGGTTTTTCTTTGCATGAAGCCGTACAAATATCCTCTTCCAGAAACAAAGCAACTGCAAAAAGATTTTTTATTTTTTTTACAAAAATAAAATGAATAAAATCAAATATTTGCTATTGTCTTTGGAAATGTCTGGTCTTCCACAAGCTTTCCCTTCCCCCCCCCCCCCGGCACTCCAATCACATACATATGCATGCAATATTGTCTTGCAGCCCTCACTTACGAAAACATATTTGCATTTACAAATTTCCTACGTAATTATTTGCTTAAAAGAATAGGATTCGCAGACAGCTTCGGAGGAGCGTTGTAAATGATATTCCTCATAGGAGCCGTCCTGCTCCCCCCCTCTCCCAAGTAATATTTGCTCAGTTATCCTTGTCTTGATTTAGCCCAGGGCTCTCCAAACTTGGCAACTTGAAGACTTGTGTACCTCAAGTCCCAGAATGGTGATGTCAAGGGGCAACGTAAGTGCGGAATGGGCTGTCTTCCCTCCTTCCCTGAACGTTGTGTCAATTCCTGAAGAGCGACGGAAAGAGTAACTTCTCCCTGAGCCCAGATTTGGGCGACAATTAAATTAGTTAAAAATATTTTCCATGCGCCCCCAGAAGTGTAATTTCTAATGTTGGATTTTCCCCCTTACCAGAGGCGGCCTCCTTGTGGACTACTGTGAAGTTGTTGCCTTGGAAACTCCACTGTGCTGTACAGTAGAAGCCATTTTAAGGCACAACAGGCTGTATCTTAACAGAACACACACCCCGAGGGGTGTTAGGGGGTGTCTTACCACCACAGTATTGGTTTCCAGAGGGTAAGTCATCTGTGTACCAAGTTTGGTTGAAATTGCTGGAGGAGTTCCAAAGAACACACACACACACAAACGCAGAGCCGTTTTTATATATATAGAAGATTTATTTTTTCCTGATAATTTTATGATTTTATTTTTGGGTTTTTGTGGTTTTGATGGAGTGGCATGTGAACCAAATTGAAAAAAAAAGTGAATGAAGAAGTTAGGTACAAGTACAGGGTGTGCTTCCGGGCTACCAAGGAAGTGCAGAGATTTGGCTCAATTAAAATTAAAATCTTCCAGGTTGAGTTTAGGCAAGGATCATCCAAAGAAATACCCCAAGTCATTTTCTGAAGTTCCCTGGAAAGAACAGTAATTAATTTGCTCTTGATTTAGAAAGGATCACACAGCTGATTGCAATTTCAGACATTATGCTTTCCTGAAGATTTGGAAGGGTTTCTGACAGTTGAATATTATTTTCGTCATCCTTTGAGAATCACTCTTCAAAAGAAGAGCAAGCCATCGGTTTTCTTTACTTTCCCCAAAAGTAACTTTATAGCTGCATTCAGCCAGAATGGGAATTCACACAGTGAATCCTGCAAAACAGTCGGGAGTTTCTCGATCTGCAACTTCTCTTCATCGTTCTGTTCATCCTTCTGCAGCTAACCTTTTTTTCAGTGGTGGGATTCAAATTTTCTTTTTAGTATTGGTTCAATACCATTGCCAATACTGTATAAAGAAAACTTATATAAAATGTTTTACAGGTGGCATCTCCCACCCGCAAGAATAGCCAAAATGTTTAGAAATGTAGCGCCAAATTGTTGGAAATGTGATTATGAATCAGGCATGTACTGCCACGTGTAGGAGTATGAATATTGGTGGGAAATTCAAAGGTATCTGAGAGAGATAACCGAAGAGGAAATAGAATTTACACCAGAACTATTTCTATTGGGAATCAGGAACAATAAATATTACAAGGGGGGCAGTGGTGGGATTCAAATAATCTAACAACCGGTTCTCTGCCCTGATAACCAACCGGGTAGGCAGGGCTTGGTGGTCATGTGACTGGGTGGGTGTGGCCAACTCAACGTCACTCAGGTTGATGGGCGCTTTGCCTTAGCTGTGACAATGT